AGAGTAACGAGCGAAGGGAGACAGGCGGAGGACAGGCTAGATGGTGAGTGACCTGCCGCTGTCAACTGCTCCTTTGTGTGATATACGCAGGGCAGAATCGGCCATCGAGCTGTGTTATAGCCTGTCTTGTTGACTGGACACGCAGGCGGAAGAGCTCAAGGCTGAGCATACGCGCAGCATACTTTTGAATTACGTTTGATCCTTCGACACCAGCCGGGCTCCTCGCAGCCGACCGGCTATGCCATGCATGCCTGCATTGTATGTCCACAGACTTCTTCGTCCCTCACGCGGCTCACGCCCGATCTCCAAGGCCAACCATTCCGCTTGGGAAGAGGCCCAGAGCACGCTGCTCTGCTCCATGCAACGCTTCAACTTAACGGTGGTCCACTCGTCGTACGACCTGCGCCCGGAGCAGGCGCTGATGACCGAGCCGCACGACTTGTCCGTCCATGCTATTACTTGCACTAACACGAATGCCAGCATCCCGATGTTCAGCACGCCATCTAACCTGCTGCGGCGGGACGATGGACCAAACGAGGCGGACGGGCGACTCATAACGATGAATGCCGCCGATTTGAACCCGCGTAATGTGCTCTAGGGCTCGAGCACTGGCAGATTGGAAGGATTTACACAAAGGATAGCTTCTTCCGCCATTGACTAAGGTGCGTCGGCACGCTAAACGGTCCATTTATGACTCCCCTGGGCTCCAACAGTTCGATTTGTACGCTCGACTCGGCAGCGGGGCATACGCCCGCAGACATTTCTATAGCCATTTTTATCGCCTCGCACGAAGGCCAGCCCGCCGATAATGCTGCGCACCTCGTCGAACAGCTCTCCAACTTGAAAGGCGAGCAGCTTTCGGAGGTATCCCAGGCCGTCTCTTGCTACAGCAACCGCGACCGTACTCTACCGTATCAGCGTATTTGACGTTGCGCGATGAATTTCTCGCCGAGCGCGATGGTGACGTCGGTTTCGTATGCTTCAAAGTGTTCAAGTGGGAGACGGCGCCATGGGGGGAGGTGGGCACTTCGTAAGGTCCGTGTCTCCTTGCTATGTGCTATGATGGCTTACCGTTGACCTCTCTGTTCGTAGCTGTACGGAACGATCAAGTTTGACGGTATTCGATTGGAGAGATCTCATGTCACTAGTTACATCGGCAGGCGATGTATAGGCACGTGGCGGACACCCTTTCTCGCAAATTATGACACTGATGACACGTATCTCAGGGCTTAACCCTCCGGAAGGTATGACGTACGAGGCAACGATTATTTCGCTATGTGGGATCCCGATCTTCCCTCTACTCCGCAACTCGACTCACTGACACGCTCTCCCCAGTTTATCTGTCAATACTATATGAGACGTTCACTGCGCGCGCTCGCTTTGATCTCCTAACTGAACAAGAGGCGCGCATACGGTGGCACACCCTTGAGACGAAAACTGGTGCGTGAGAAGGTCAATATTTGTTCCGTTGATCCTACTACTCCTCTTACCGATTGCCCGCGAATGTATCGACGCTGCGGCTCAGCGGTTACATGGAACTGTCCCGGCCGACGACCATCCAGGATCTGCGCATCTCGGCATATTATCACTTGGGGCTCTAAAGGAAAGACACTGGATTGCTATGTGCTAAAGCAGCTTTGTGCTCGACAGGGTGCCGTCAAAAGGGCTATGCTGGGGTAGGATGAATTTGGTGGGCTGTGGAGAGCCAAAGCTTGGGGCGAGGACAGGACGATGAACATGGAACGGAGGTCATCTCGGCCGGACAGTCTGACGAGGAACGTGGAAGGTTTGCGGCGACAGCTCATCACTTGATCTCCACTCGCCCGACCCCACGCTCGCTGCCTTTCATATAACCTCTTGGACTGCCAAGCATACGACCTGATTCTGTCAAGGTGCGTGAGCTTCGCCTCCTTCTACCGTTCGCTGTCTCACGTCGGAATGAAGACGCCTATATTGTACAGAAAGGCAGGGACACGAGCTCACTCATCGGTCACGAGGTGAGAGGCTGGCGGAGCTCTGTAGTCACCGGCGACTGCTGAACTCTTTCGATGCCGAGAAGATGAACAACGCTGGACGGCCGCAAGGTATTTATTGTATGGCCTGGTGCGCATATAGGCGACTGACGGTGGATTATCGGTGGTACCACTAGTGAGGAGTTAGCTGGGAAAGCAAGGACATGCATGTAAGACCGACAAAATATAAGATTTTTGTTCTGATTTCTTTGCAATTTGCTGTGGGCTGATGCGCAATTTACTACGGCTCAGGAAGAATTTAGGCTCTAAGCGGCCGTTGTGCGTGAAAGACGAGGCAGTGCACGGCTATGCATTGCAAAGCCTGGGTCGATTTGCCGCTCGGCATGTTTGTTCAGAGCTGCGCCATTTCCCATGTAGGCGATGGAGAAGGTGTGTGCTTCTGCACGCACCTTCCGTCACAAGTCCAACACGTCTGCTTGTGGCGGAGGGCGTTCACACGAGATGACACAGCCGTTGACGCCTGCTGCTCCCTCGCCGGCGACCTGGCCAGAGACTCTGAGCGTGGACAATTAATGATCGATGATCAATGAACGCTGTGCGCGGAACGGTGTTTCTCTGTAACCGCTGCAGTCGGGCTGACATACTCTAGCTAGGCAAGATGCGTGACTGCCCCGGATGCTTGAGAATGGCGGAAATTTAGCTGGCGCCACAAGGTCATGATGTCCTTGTGAACGTTATATTCGCGAGGCAAATGGCTGTGCGCTGCGAGCTCACTCATCAGCCATGTGCATGAGGTGCGAGGCTGGGGGGACTTCGTGATCGCAGCTGCCGGATTTTTTTTTTCCACGAGGCCGAAAAGATGGACGAGGCCAGACAGCTGTAAGGTATTTACACTATAGCATATATGCGACTGACGGTAGATTGCGCTGATGCATGATGCGAAATCATTGTCGCGATGTTCTGGAAGAATTTAGACTCCAGGCGACGGGCTGTGGTCGCATGAAAGGCGAAGCAGTGCAAAGCTGTGCGAGGCCCACTCGATCGTGTCCATGACACCTGCCACCGAGGGACCCATTGATGCCGCTTGTAGTGCCGAGAAGGTGCAGACTTCTGCGCGCGTTTCCTTTCAAATGTCCAGAACATATGCTTGCGGTGGACGGCATGCGTGTTTGGACGTTCATACGATCGGGCCGCCAGACGTTGACGCGTGCTAACCGCTGCCGACGCCCGCTGCTCCCTCGCGGGCGAATGTCCTTGTAAACCTTGTATCCACGGGGCAAGTGGCTGTGCGCTGCCGCGAGATAGAGGCGCAGGTGCGTCGTCCACCGTTCAGCGCTTCAGCCTCGTATACCTCCTTCGCCCTCACATCCTCGTATCCTGCGGTCTTATACGCATCTGCCTCGTCGACTTGGAAGATGTCGCGCGCCACTGGAGCTGATCTACCCCCTGAAGTACTGTCTGACATTCTCAGGCGTGTCCCGCGACATTATCCCGCTTATGATTTAGACATACGTCGCAAGTTCAAGAGCAGGCTCGCTGGGCCTGCCCTCGTATGCAAGCACTGGTCCGAAGCCATCAGACCTATCCTCTTCCGACAACTCGAGTTGCGCAGCGCCGAAGACATACGCTTCCTCAAGAGCATCGTCAGCAGCCCCGAATTTGCAGCTTCATCTCTGTCCGGGTCCATCAAGGAGATACATATCCGTCAAGAAGCTACGGGAGCTAAGCCCTGGCTTCACCATGTCCATGGACTTTCAACCCGACTCCGGAAGACAACATTCGTGTGTGTTGTCAAGAATCACACGGACGATGCTGCATCAACAGCCGGCCGTTGGGCCCCATTTGAGTCAATACC